CCCCCCCCCCCCCCGGTGGGTCTGGCTCCCCTGGTGCTCAGGCTCCATTTTAAATCAACCTGGCTAACAAGAGCTCATGGCAAACTCCAGTCCTTAGGTCTCTCTTTGGGAAGCCTCAGCCCGTTAGGATTTGAGAATGCCAGGCCCCTCAGATTTTGAGGGAGATGAAAGTCCCTCTGTGCTCTGTCTCCTTGATTTAGGGAGAGATTCAGATGCAGAGAATGCAATGACAAAATGCACATAAATAAACAATGAAGGAAAATTGGGGTATAAAGTGGCCGGTTTTAACCATCGTGCTGGTAAGCCTATTCTTTAATAGAATGACCTTCGGTGGCTCTCTGCAACAATATCCATTTCAACTTCACAGGAGCTGCTTCTCCTCATAAAGTACTCTTGATATGCCTTTCCTTATTCTCTAGGGTTTTTCCCCCCACTCTTTCTACTTTTTTTTTTTTTTAATGCAACAGTCAAAACAAAAGTGTGAAAGGAGCCAGAGCTGAATAATTCAAGGGCATCTCTGAGTCATGCCCATGGAAGGATTACCGTGGTAAATGAATCTCCTTGAGATTAATAAAATAAAAGAAGATAAAAAGAAGATTTTGTGATAAGATGGCGGGGAGAATGAGAGCTGCGGAGCCGCCGTCCTTTGAAGTTTAGGCTTTTTGTATGTGTCTGCTGTGTACGTGTTTGCTGTGCGGAGGGATGCTCTGGACTGGCACTCACCCGTACAGAAGCTGGACTGCTCGGGTCTGTGTGGGCTTCTTCGGCCGGAGGAGCGTGAACGACGGCAGCGCTTCGCGTTTTGCAGCGCTTGGCGCACCTGCCGCACCGACTGCGTTTGCTGCGTTTGTCAATTTGGCAGCTCCTTTGCGTTTGGTGGCGGCGTTTTTGGGGACTAGCTCAGCTGCTGCTGCTGCTGTGGTTGCTGCTGGAGCTGCTGCGTTTGCAGCGTTTCCCGCGTTTGCGGCTTGGCGGCTGTTTTGAATTTGGGAGCAGCGTTCTTGGACTGGCTTAGCTGGCTTGGCTGGAGGAGTCTGCTGCTCCTGGACAGACTTCTTCGTGCTGGTTTGGAGAACTGCCCAAGTTCTTTCTTTGGGAGTGGACGGAGGAGCTGCTCCAACTGCGTCTTGGAGCT